TGAACCCTGCGCTAGTCCTTTCGAAGAAATTCTTTTTTCTATAATTTGATCTTTGAACAAAAAACATAATTCTCTACCTGACATAATATTGACAATAAAATTTACTATGTTACTTGAAAAACCTATTGCAGTTAATTTGTCAACTAATATTAGTATATCAATATTATCATAAGCAGCTTCAATATCGAGAAAACTCGCCATTAGCACTCTTTTTTTTAATAAAATTAATGTCAACATCAGTGACGAAAGAGGCTATACTGTCACTGCACGATCTTAACCGCCGAAAGCCAAAAAATTGCCTAGGAAAAAAATGTTTGTTTTCTAAAAACCATTGAATACGATTATTAATTATACGCTCCAAAATTTTTTGAATGCAGGAAGAGAGAACGATGGGTCGAAAACCGCGGTTATTCGGTTTAGGAATTAGAAAAACTAATTGTTTTTTCCAGTTAGCTGGAGTTTTTTTCTTTTTAATAATATAATTAAATATTCTTGTCATAAGTTCAATTGCCCTCTCCGGAAGTTGCTTAATCACCCTATAAGAAATCAAATCCTCTCCAGGTGAAGATTTAGTTTTAGCATTATATATTGTAGATTTAACTTCATGAGTGTCTATATCACTATCTAACTGAACGTTGGAGCCTAAATCATCTCTAATATTAATTGGAACAAATGGAATATCAGGTGCAACTTTATTAATTGTGTCTTTAATTTTAGGGTCCATGGGGGAGTTCATTTGACAGTGAGAGTTATCTAATTTTCGACTTTTAAATGCTTTTACATAGCCCCAAATTCTATCAATCGCCATATTCGGATTCAAAGAGCCACAAAAATCTATAAAGGATTTCCTTTTAGTACAAGACAGCCCTTTACGAGCTTCCTTACAAGCTAATTTGTATTTTTTATAATTTTCCTCTGAAAAATTGTTAAAGAGATCAACTTGTTTGGATTTACGATTGTCGACTAGTTTGGAACATTCATCATTCCACCACCTCGCAGTAGGATATTTCTTTGGCCTCTGAGTATGTTCCGATTTCTTAGCACCTGATTCGATCAAGCAATCAATGATAAGTTGAGTCAACTCATCATATTTGGTTAAAAAATCCTCCTCAGAGACATCCATAAGATTAGAGTTAAGTTTAGATTCTAAATCTTCTTTAAATTTTTCCCACTCCACGTTTACGATAGACAATTTAATTCTATCCGTGTGTTTTTGAAATTTACCCAGACTGAATGACACATTTATCGGAAAATGATCACTATTACATGAATCATTAATAACTGCCCATTGAGCAGTGAGTTTCAATTCCGGAGAACATAATGTAATGTCCGGGACGCTGATTTTTCCTCCAAAATTAATTCTGGTTCCATCCCCATTATTCAATATAGTCAATTCATTTTCTAGTACAGATTCTAAGAACCATGAACCCTCCGGATTGGTAAGATCATTACCCCATTCCATGTCATGAACATTAAAATCTCCGCAAACAACTACTTTATTCAAGGTTCTACGAGTGAAATTAAAAAGATTCTTCCAGTCTCGAACCGGAACATACGCAGAAGGCGATCGATAAAAGTTGTGAACTTCTATTTTGCTATTATTCCAATCTATTTCTACTCCGATCCATTCAAATCCCTTAGGAAAAGTTAAGTTAAGTTTTCTGTAATTTATAAACGAACGAATATATATAATTGATCCTCCCCCATGTATATTTTCCGGTTGGTTAAAGCTAATAAGATAAAATCCTTTAAGACTAATTTCTTTACCCTCTTTGAAAAACGTTTCGTTAACACATATAATATCAAACCCCTCAGCCATATGAGTGAACTCATCCCATTTGTTTAATAGGCTCCGAGAGTTCCACTGTAAGATGCGAAGAGCCATTACTAGATCATCTTTTTGTAACGGTCCTCCGCCGTCTTAATCCCTTTAACAATTTTATCATCGTTGCCTAGAATTTCCCTCAGTATTTGAGAAAACTTACGAATTTCGGTAATGAAAGATTTATTTAAATCTAATAAAATGTGACCCTGGGGGACCTGATGTCTAGAAGTTCCAACAGTTGTACCAGTCGAGGAAGAATTATCTGATCCCTCACCGTTCCTTCCACTACCCATGTTGTGAAAAATTGAAATAACCGAACCACTGTCAAATTCCTCTCCCCAACTCGTGCCAGACAAGCCGTTTATCAAATTCCTAGCTTCCTTGTAAGAAATACGTTTCTCCTGCTTAACTTTGTTTATTTTCTTTTCCCTCAAGTAATGAGGACAAATCATGGATAGAGAGTCATGGTCTGAGGAACCACAATGAACACAACACAGGTAAGAATTTGTACAGTCCTGAAAACCGTGATTACCTGAGCATTTCGGACATCTGATATTTCCCCTACAAATATTTTGTAAGTGACCAAATCTAAGGCATTTGAAACATCTCTTGACCTTGGGGTAAAAACATCTTACTTTCCTTTTGACACCATCGATTAGAATACTAGGAGGAAGAACACTGCCGTTGACAAATATTTTAATCATAGGAATAGGAATAAATGATAGTCTTCCATTCACATCAGCATTGATATCAGGATCTCTTTTTTTCATTCTCTCAATTTCAAATATCTTTGAGGAGGGATCAGACCTTTTAATTGCCTCGAGGATATCTTTATTTTGCATCTCAATGGGAACATCTCCTATTACCCCAATAGATTTGATACTGCTATCAGGAATCACAGCAAACCAATTCTCATTGACTTGAGAGATTTCTGATTCTACAAGTTTATTTGCTGCAAAAGCGGAGGTACATTCCATCAAAATTTTATCTTGATCTCGTCTTTTAATTCTCTTGAAAAACCTATCTACTTTTCTTAGACTCCTCGCAATGGCCATCTCATGGAGATTACCTAGGTGATTATTTCTATTTTTGTCAAGAATGTAGATAATAAATGGACCTAAGACCTCATTGGAGTACCTATTGTCCCTCATGCCAAAATAATAATCAAATAAATTAAACTGACTCGAATCTGCAGTATCCATTAAATCACCTGGATCAGTTTTAGATTTCTTCTGATCTGAATTATCATCTAATTGAGTTGAAGCTCTTTTTGTTGGAGTGAGAGGCATATTGACTTAAAAACTAACACAAAAACATAAAGATGAAACATGAAAAAGACAACACACCTGAAGTCCGGGAATCGATCTTCAAACAGGAACAATATTGCAGAAGATCACAAACGAAACCCGATTTACGAATTATACATTTAACAGGATCCTTTTATTTGAATATTTTATTATATTTATTATTTTTATATTCTCCCCCTATTTTAATTTTTTAAACTCTGTCTTCTTTATTTCTTTTTTCCTTTCAATTCACTAATATTATTAAATCCAGTCGAAATTCTATTCAAAAGTTTGACAATCTAGGAAAACGTGTGATCAGTTTCGTTGCTCGGAGCAGACTCATCTAGTATTCAGAAATCCACAGGGGAACGTAACGAGAAACACACTCGAGCGGAGGGGGTAAAACGTGTACTGGAGAGAGATTTTGCGCGTTTTATGTCGACATAAAAACTTATAATTTTGCTCCCGCCAGAGAGCGTGGCAGTAGTTGTTATGAACGGTTCTGTTAGATTTTGAGAACACATATCCCGGCAGTTTTAAATTGATTTGTGATGCAGAGGAGAAATAAGGAATTGAGTTGTGATATATAGATTCAAGGGTTTTCAGAAGGTACGTAATTGTCATTTAATAATCGCTCGGGTGCTAACGAACCCCAAATGTGAGCAATAAACAACGAAAATGAGGTTATAACATCATGCATCATGTGTAATAATTGCTGGGATTTTATTCTATTTTCCCTTCCTCCATCCAGATTTGGATACACAATGTTCCCTTTCCCGAGGAACGTAGCAGCAGCAATTGCAGTAGATGAAGCTGCAAGAAATATAGCAGCAGCTGTTAATAATCAGAGGATTGAAGCCAACAGGGTCCGGAATATTGAGATGAGAGAAGCTCAAGATCCATTTCATACTCTGGACGAATTTACGTTTCGAAAAAAGTTCCGGTAAGTACAATGACGACAAATATAAAATATCATCTAGTCCTAATAGTAACGACTACTATCTGGGACTAATGTTGCAAATTTGTGGAATGCCAGACTATCCAAGGACTTGACACTGTGGCTTCCGGAACGGATTGCTCCACTGCTCCCTGATGAAGGTCCAACGTCAGGGGTTCCAAAGAGAATTCAGGTGAGTGGGATGTTGTTAAATTCACAATCCTTCAGTCATTAGCATTTAATTTGCAGGTTCTTGTGACATTGAAGTTTTATGCTTCTGGAGATTTCCAGATCTCCATCGGTGACTGTGAATTCTTCGGCCTATCCCAATGCATGGTCAGCCAGGTAATATCTAATGTTACCGATGCAATGACAACATTGTCAGACGAATACATTGNATTAATTTTTATAATAGTTGATAGTTAATTTTAGATTTTTAGATTTCAAGGAAAAGTACGCTTTCCTGGTGTAGTAGGGTGCATTGATTGTACACATGTGCTAATGCGAGCCCCAGATGGAGAGCCTTGGCATTACAAGAATTACAAAGGTACTTATTCGTTGAATATTCAAGTCACCTGTGACCACAGAATGCATATCACTTCCATTGATGCATACTCTGGACGAACCCATGATGCACGAATCTGGCGTCAATCGAGGGTGAAAAAAACTGTGGGGAGAGTGAATCGGGAGTCTGATGGCACGTACTTTTTACTTCGTAACTAAAGCTTATAATAATACACTCGGAAATACTAACGCCATGTTATTTTCCATTGTACTGTTTTATTCCAAAATCTTCTCTGAATTCACCATACCAACACTCCATTATTTTTAGTAATTGCACTTTATTAATAGTCCCTTTCTCATCTCAGAAGAACACATAATAATCGATATTATAAACACCCTCAGCTTCTGCGTGCAACAGTTCCCTCCATTTTTTATAATTGAAATTACTTCATACATTCTGTCTAGCTTCATCGTCGGCACTGTCTGTATCTCCATCATCCCTAAGAAACAAAAAGAGTAGAATGTTAACAAATTAAAACTCGGGTAATTTAGGTGATGCTGGGTACCTACGGTCGCCCATACTCCTCATACCAATCGTCGATGCAGCCGAGAATACCCCTCAATACAGGTATACTCGTCGACATTGCAAAACAAGATGTGCCATTGAACGAGTGTTCGGGGCCTTGAAAGGACGATTCAGATGCTTGCACAAAGATCGGGTATTAGTATACCAGCCGGAGAAAGTTATCAAGTTTTTCAAAAATTGTGCAATGCTCCACAATTTGATTATAGCAAACCGGTGAATGATACTTCATATATTACTCATTCTTCAGTTATTGTGAACAAGTTCTGTGATTTTCAATAACTCATTAACAGCTTAGAGAACGGGGAAGAGGATGTTCTGAATGAAGACGACGACAATTATAATTTAGACCCACGCATCCTCGATTTTGATCTTGATAACGTTGCAAATGGCCAGAGGAACAGTGATTTGATTCAAGGACGTCAACTTCGAGAGTATATAATCAATGCGTACTTTGCATAATCATGATTTCAAGTTGTCGCGAATAAATGTATAAAATCCATTTTAAGAAAATTTTATTTACCTAAAGTAATCGTTAGCCGCCTTCATCATTCTCTGGTGGTAGGCATCACCCTGACTCTTAACATCGACAACTGAACTGTGCAATTTTTTATCGAAATCGAAATTATATTCGGGATCGTAAATGGGTGATGGAACGTGTTAAGTCTGCTCTTCAAAAAATGATGACAATTGTTCTGTGCTTGGTGGAGTATTTGGATGAAGTCGCAGGTGTTCAGTTGACACTAAAGGAGATTCAGGTGATACTAGACGATGCTTGCCAGGAAGAAGAGGAGTATCTGGTGAAATTGTGTCCACTGCCATGGAACAAAGTCACTTTCTGGAAGATCTTGATATTGTGAGGATATTGGAAGTTCAGAAGATGTTGCTGAAGAATTAACATGCAATGGAGATCGTCTCTGCTGGAGTGGATTGAGCAGTGAGTTTTCGTTCAACAGGTTTGGACTTCTTGAGCACACTGAACGCGATCCCAAACAATGTGACCTCCTGGCAGGATCATTTAGCATCAATTGATGGATATTTCCGAGAACTTTTACGACCTGGGGAAGTGCCATCAATCCCTCTGCGCAGATGGGAAGATACTGCTGCAGTAACTCGTTGAATTTCTGCGAGAATATACCCACAAAATTATTAAAATATCAACGAATGATCATAGAAACACATTTCGGCGTTAAATGTTTACCTGGGATTCATGAACACTTCCAATTGTAGCAGCTGAGACAGCATTTAAAATCGAAGAAGAAGTTTCAATTTTTTTCTCGAGTCTTGTACTTCGTGCTGTAAGGGCAAATATATCAAAAACGTATTTTACGAGGGATTATTTGCAAAAAAAAAGCCAAGCATACGTTTTTTTGATTCAGGAGGAGGTGAATCTTGGATCGATTTCGTCTCGACTTTCCTCTTTTTATCAGTAAATTCAGCAGTACCACCTGGGACAGTTGTACACGTTGTCGAACCCCAAATGTCGATTATGCGTTTCTCTCTATCAGTGAGCTCATCATTTGGGGTAATCGTCGGATTGCCGGTTTGTTGGTACTTACGCTCGAGGCGGCCCTTTTTAGCCAACGCATTAGTTCTAAAACGATTCCAGGCCTGTAAATTTCGACACATGATTAATACTCATTCCATGACTTTGTTGCTGACGATAATTACTCACATTTTTGCATTGTTCTGGAGTTGTTTTATTCCCACTGCCCGAAACAAAATCTGCTAATCTGTAAATTTAAATTAAATTCCAACTTGATTTTTCTCCCCAATTGTTTGCAATAAACCCATATACAATCAAATTCATTGATTACCCTTTCTCCAATTCATTCTTCTTAATATGACCGCAAACTCCCAAATCCCCATCACGTGCAAATGATGGATGTCTTGCATAGTAGTCAAGCATACGGTCTATTTGCTCACTATTCATTCGCGAAGATGACGCCCTTGGTTTCCTGATAGCACCTGTCTTTGCCTTAGCTTTTGTCTTGGGGATGACTACCTCGTCACTCACATCCATGGATTCTTCCTGGGGTAATTCATCCTCAAGGTATCCGTCATCGAGGTATTCCGCATTGACGTATACCTCATCAAACTCATCAGCGTCAGGGGGATGATTAGAATGCCTAAAATGATATGGAAGTATTGAAATATGTCATGATGGAGTGAGGGAACCGTTCAATGCAGTGATCGAAATCGTATAATCGCCCCGACATTTTTGTCATTTTTATTTTCTAATTAAACATTTGTTTGTATTGATAACATTCACTTAGCAATGATTATTAATAATGGAATACGCTCCACTCAATTTAGAGTATCACAATATTCATCAATTATCCAAAGAGAGCCTAAATGACATTGGGAATGATCAATTTTCACCACGCAACAGACCTAACTAAACTATCTTAACTTTGAATGTCTAAAATATTTCAAAGTCATAGTTGGATTTTTGTTGTTTGCTACATTATATTGTCGACATATGATCTCTCATCACTGTTCTGCATAATATTATACTTACATAGCAAATCGCGATTAATAAATTCTGATACCCAAGCACAAGGGAAATACTAACAACCAGTGAAACACGTGCCAAAACGATCACTCTTGTTTACATTCTTATAGGCTACAATTTCAATAATATGAATGTTTAACTGAGGTCCATGGGCTGATGTGTGGACAATCGTAATAATAATAATTTTTACCATTATTTAAACCCCTAAAATGAGTCGTTGGGCAAGTATAATTGAATTTTATTAAATAGAAGTTTTTTTAGCGGGAAATTCAAATGGTTTTCCTTTATAATGTTGCTGGCGAGGATGAGATAACTCCTCTTGTTAACAGTATATTATTATCATTTTTGTGGTTTGTCAGACGTGGGTTCTGAGAGAAATGATTGATGACCAACAACTCACCATCAAGGGCCAACTTTTCGCTGGCGAAATGCCATACCGTAACAAGTAGATTCTTGATGCTTTGTGAAATGATCAAATAAGGGATTGTACAATTAGGCATCCCCGAGGGAAATTCGCAATAGTCGTACATGAAAAATTTGAATTATCGCGTTTTACGATTTCCCAACATGAATGTGCACAAGGATTCTGGAAGCAATAAAAGAAAAATCAGAAGTCAACAATCCATAAGTAAATACGTCGGCTCAAGGATTTCATTATAAAATAATTATGAAATAAGAACTTTGAAAGATTACTATAAACTCAGAACTAAAGTCGGAAACCATAGGAATTCCGATTCGATTTGTTTATTATTCATTGCTTTAGCTTCGGACCTAGTCATTTGAGGAAAAAAAAGGAAATATTTGAAATAATTAACTCAATTGATTGAAAATAATATGCTTATATAATTCCGAATAAACAATGGATATTGTCACTACATCCGAACATGGTTCATCATGAGAATACTTTAAAATTGGAAACCCTGCATTGATAACTTGTTACGTGCCACTACTTTACTTTTGAATAAATATTACGAAATGAGAAGAAATACGAACGATTTTTCTCTCACCAATCCCATGGAACCTCCTGGGGACTACCAACGGCTCCTTCATGGCAGTACCGGTTCACAGAAACCCATCCATAGTGAGAAGACATAATTCTGGCAAAAAAAACACAAAATTTATGATAAAGCCAAATGCTTCACCTCTGCACTTTCAATCGTCCCTCAGAGAGAAGGCAATGTTCATAGTACCTGTCCATGATTTTTATACATCATCTATGAGAGCATTGGTGAAATGGCAAGCTTCTTGACAGCAGGTTCCACTTCTGCTTCGGGCTATGGATTGGGCACATGGTCGTGGAGCAGAAAGGTGTCGACAATGTTATTGGGTCCATCCTCAACCTGGATACTCTGGGCTTAGCCTCCATGCTCGGGTGTGTTAACTCCACAAGATGATGATAGACAACAAAAGTGAAGGCTACCAAGTGTACCAGACATTCTTGAAGGCTTTGCAGCCGCGTCAGAGGCTATAAAAAAATTTGCTAATGATCTATTGAACAAGAATGGAATGAAAAATTATCGGAGAATTATGAATAATTCTCCAATGAAGAGGAAAAATTAATAATTGAAAGGAAAGAGATTTTCCAATGAAGAATAATTTTTACCTGGAATCGTGAATATCAACATTATTGAATTGCAAATATTTGTGGTTCTATTTGAGGATTATGGACTTGAATTACGAAAAGAAGAATCCGCCTTCAAAGAACTCTGACGTACCTGAATAACGAATCATTCTCCGTCTTCTGGAACCGTTCAATAACAAAATATTTTTGGGAGATCCAGTACCCAACTCGCAGATGAAGAAGATTCTTAAAGGATGGTTTGATCCCCAGTAATTACCACAGCATACCCGTGGCTTTACATGGTTAGGACAATAACACAAATTCTAATTACTCAGCGATTGGAGTAAAATCAATCACTTCCTAGGAATTAAACCTTGGCGATCAGCGGGAAATGAAAAAAAAAACATACGTACATGCCAATATTAATGATGATGATTCATTTTATCCTGAATTAAAGGAAATATATTCTCAACTGTGGAAGTAACACATAGTACACGCTGAACACTTACCACAAATCGGAGCAAATGCTATATAACCTTCACCACTGTACAAAATCACTAACTTCAGATATTCAAATTATAACATACATTCCAATAATGAGCAACAATGCCCAAATTTGTGGTTTTGATTGTCTACTACAATTTATAATTAAATTATTAAATTTTGGAGCGCGCTAATATCCACATGGTAGCCATCTTATAAGAGTCTTCCCCCTCCAGAAAACAACCGAGCAAGCGTTCCGAATTTGATGAACTGAGACGTAAACAAAACATGCACACCACCTGGTGGGAGCAAAATATAAAGTGTCTATGTCGACATAAAACGCGCAAAATCTCTCCCCTGCGGACGCGTATGCCAATCTCGAGTGGTTTTGGGGGTCCGTTGGCCCTCAGGCCTCAATATTTAGCAAAAATTCGGGGGACAAAATTTTTCGAACTGAAAGAGCATACCGGTGCTCCGATAAAATCCGCGAAAACCGTAAACATATTAGAAGAATACTTTACCTGTCACTGCACTCTCCTCTCAGGGCTCCGAAAAATCCGAAAATCGTCATTGTTCACCTTATGCATTAAATCTGACTGTCACTAAACCACTAGTACTGTGGGTCTATAGGGACTGAAGAGAAACGTCAACACTACCACTCCCTGTCCTCATCGGACTCCCCGAACAGCGACACCTGGGCCAACTCCTCGTCCTCGGCGTCCCAATCGTCGCGCTCGCGACGCTCCTCTTCCAACCAGCTAACCAGGCGATCCTGGGTGTAATCATCTGGCTCGATAAGCATCAGGAATGATCCATCCCTCTGCCACCATCCCAGCTGGGGTGATCCACTGGGACCCCGGTGCCGAGTATCATTCTCCAGATGCTCAGCTGAGAAAATGAGAGGTTGCTCTACCCGGAGAGCCCACCGACGGTCCGGGAATCGGGGGTCCAGTCCGTCTTATCCGTCCCTCAATTCGTACGGGTCCGGGTCTGCCTCGATGGCGATGGGGTCCCTGTTGAACCCCCTGATCAGGGTGGACCAATATGGTCATCAGTGACGGAACACGATGACGACGTGTCCGAGGAGGGTGTGGCGGGACGCGATGGTTTTGCGATATACCCACTGGTGGATGGTGTCGGCTCGTCCTGGGGCGTGACGGTGCTAGTAGCGGGTACAAAGTTTTTCCCCGTCACATGCATGATTACACACACACGGCACAAAAAAATACCCACTCTATCACACACACATACACAATAATCCAAATCTTTGACGATAATTGAGATCTTGTCACGGCCGCGCTTCACTGAGGACTGAAAAAATGATTATATGGTTTGGGGAGACAGCCGTTGAGTTGGTTACTCACCCTGAAACAATGTGCTGACCATGCAGTTTTGCACGTGCACTCTGTGACTACTTCTCCACCGTAACCCACACTAGCTCTCGAAGGTCAGACTAACCGTCTCCACATGTGCTTACCTTGCAAATCTGACATCTGCAGAGACGAGTTGATACCATTCTCTTTCTTATAACAATATTCTCGTCATTTAATTTTAACAACTTTATTTCTCATCAAGTCGATGATTAACAATCGCGTAAAAAATGTAAATAGTTATTTTCCGTGGTTGATATATCTAAATACACAGAACAAATTATTACAGTCTAAAAATAAAATCATATACATTATAATTGGTAATTATTGTGACAAGGAGAGAGCTTGCCCATTTTTCGAGGCCTGCCGCGCCTCCTCTTCGCTGCATCCTCAGGTGTCACCGGCCACACCCTCTTCAAAGGCAGTGGTGACAATGTACGCTCCCTCTCTAGCTCCTCTTCCAGGCAACTGACGCATGACGCACACATTTCCCTTGGTGCACACCGCCTTAATTTTGGCAGTTTGGAGTCAAGAATCTGTTGCTTGGTTAGGCGAGGTAAAGAAACCCAGCACGGTTTCACACAGGGCAAATCAATAGGACATTCATCTGCAAAATAAACGTACAATCATGAATCACTTTCACGGATTTCTCCCCAAACTTTTGAACCTTACCATTCCCAATCGCTAACCGATGATCCTCGATCTCATCTACCCCTTCACGTATGACGTCACCGTCATAATACTCGATTTCATACGCTTTTCCGGTATTACCGCACGGCCTGTTATCATGCGCGACGGTATTCAGCATTCTTTGTCCAATTTCACTGTAGCTATGGAGCATGAACGCACAGCCACGCGGGTATTGGAAATTTTTGCCAATCACACGCAAAATTTCAAAGGTAGTATGGGAACAATTACTCTATATTGTCCCTTATATCACGTCTTAACTCTCGAATCAAAGCCTTTAAACTTGCCTTTCGTATCGATTTTATTTTGAAGTGTAAAGTTCCTCCTCCATTTTTGGATCAGACCATTCTAAAATTTTTCATTTTTCAAAATAATTTTGGCCGACTTTTTTTTTATAGTCCGTTACTACTTATTTCAGGGCCGCGACAAACCTTTTTGGAAATAGTTAAATTTTTTTTTTCCATTTTTGTTACTTTTTTGGCGTAGTTCATTGTCCCACATTCCTCCTCGGCCCCTCGCGGCCCAATTCCTTTCAGGGAAAATAAATAAAGAGAATATTAAATTGAAATATTAAATTTTTTTTTTTTTGGAGGGGGAGAGGAGTCCAAATACCATCCGTCAGGCCTGTCATTTATCAATCCAATTAATGTTAAACCCACTTCCCTTCTCTCCTCCGCGCATAATTACTCGAAAATTCTCAAATATTCTTGAAAAATCTTGGAAAAATTGTCATTTCGGACATTTACAATGATGGCAACAGAGATTTTTTTGGAATATAGCATCAGCAGTGCCAGTCCATGATATGGTATGCTTTTGCAATTCCTCGGCGCATGCGTCTGATGTCAGTGACCTGAAAACAACTAAATCCCCATCAATTCCTCAAACGGAAAGGAAAAATCGATATTTTACACTTGAATATATCATCTACACAACCAACCCATAATGCGGTATGATTTCGGAAAACCTCGGCGCATGCGCCTGATGTCAGTGGCCTTGTGAAACCAAAAAATTCCTCCAGGACAATGGAAAAACAGATATTCCAGGAGATCACATTAAGTCATCTCAAATTTGCTTGAAATACATCGTCCACACACCTAGCCAATGATTTTGTTCAATTTCGGGATTCCGCCACAACTTATTCGCCCAATGGCGTCCATTTACGTGCAGTCAAATCAGAAATTCATCATTCAATTTCTGAGAAATCAAGAAAAAGGCGTGAATGATCGACATGAGAGCTTCCGGAATTCCTCTCGCGTTTCCCAGAGCTTCTTCATATCATTAGGGATGTGTGATTGCAAGGATTATGGCCAAGCGGCCAGACTTAGTCACCCAATGGCATGAGTTCTCGTGCAGTCAAATCAGAAATTCATCATTAAATTTCTGGAAAATAAAGAAAAGCGCGTGAATGACCGACATGAGAGCTTCCGGAATTCCTCTCGCCTTTCCCAGAGCTTCTTCATATCACTAGGGATATGTGATTGCAGGGATTAAACTTGCCCAGACTTATTCACCCAATGGCATGAGTTCTCGTGCAGTCGAAACATAAATTCATCACGAGAATTCTAGAATATAAAGGAAAACGCGTGAATGACCGACATGNTTAAATTTTTTTTTTTTTGGAGGGGGAGAGGAGTCCAAATACCATCCGTCAGGCCTGTCATTTATCAATCCAATTAATGTTAAACCCACTTCCCTTCTCTCCTCCGCGCATAATTACTCGAAAATTCTCAAATATTCTTGAAAAATCTTGGAAAAATTGTCATTTCGGACATTTACAATGATGGCAACAGAGATTTTTTTGGAATATAGCATCAGCAGTGCCAGTCCATGATATGGTATGCTTTTGCAATTCCTCGGCGCATGCGTCTGATGTCAGTGACCTGAAAACAACTAAATCCCCATCAATTCCTCAAACGGAAAGGAAAAATCGATATTTTACTCTTGAATATATCATCTACACAACCAACCCATAATGCGGTATGATTTCGGAAAACCTCGGCGCATGCGCCTGATGTCAGTGGCCTTGTGAAACCAAAAAATTCCTCCAGGACAATGGAAAAACAGATATTCCAGGAGATCACATTAAGTCATCTCAAATTCGCTTGAGATACATCGTCCACACACCTAGCCAATGATTTTGTTCAATTTCGGGATTCCGCCACAACTTATTCGCCCAATGGCGTCCATTTACGTGCAGTCAAATCAGAAATTCATCATTCAATTTCTGAGAAATCAAGAAAAAGGCGTGAATGACCGACATGAGAGCTTCCGGAATTCCTCTCGCGTTTCCCAGAGCTTCTTCATATCATTAGGGATGTGTCATTGCAAGGATTATGGCCAAGCGGCCGGACTTAGTCACCCAATGGCATGAGATCTCGTGCAGTCAAATCAGAAATTCATCATTAAATTTCTGGAAAATAAAGAAAAGCGCGTGAATGACCGACATGAGAGCTTCCGGAATACCTCTCGCCTTTCCCAGAGCTTCTTCATATCACTAGGGATATGTGATTGCAGGGATTAAACTTGCCCAGACTTATTCACCCAATGGCATGAGTTCTCGTGCAGTCGAAACATAAATTCATCACGAGAATTCTAGAATATAAAGGAAAACGCGTGAATGACCGACATGGAAGCGTCCGAAAGTCCTCTCGCGTTCCCCAGAGCTTCTCCATATCACTAGGGATGTGTGATTACAGGGATTAAACTTGGCCAGACTTATTCACCCAATTGCATAAGTTCTCGTCAAATCAACAATTAATCACGAAAATTCTGGAAAATAAAGAAAAGCGCGTAAATCACCGACATGAAAGCTTCCGAAATGCCTATCGCGTTTTCCAGGGCTTCGTCATATCCCCAGGGATATGTGATTGCTAGGATTAAACTTGGCCAGACTTATTCACCTAATAGCATGTATTCTCGTGCAGTCAAATCAGAAATTCATGATTAAATTTCTGGAGAATCAAGAAAAAGGCGTGAATGACGGACATGAAAGCTTCCAAATTTCCTCTCGCATTTCCCAGAGCTTCCTCATATTCCTAGGGATATGTAATTGCAAGGATTAAACTTGGCCAGACTTATACACCCA